TCAGGACAGTTGAACTGTTCAGCAAATCAAAATAAAAACCTCAACACAATGGAGCTCAAATACCTTTGAATGCAATAGTTAACAGCCTCATTTAATTAAAAATTATAGAAAAGAAGCCAAAAGAGCTCAAACTGAAACAAGCACTTTAAACAAATATACAATGTGTATAAAAATATGAAAAACTATTTCCCCCACCCCAAAAGTCAGCTCCATTTAACCAACACGTTTAATGTGCATGACACTCATTTTAATCAAAAAACAAACAAACAAACAAAAAATATATATATATATAAAACACCAAATTGTTCTTTTTAAGAGGTGTTCCTTTGTGGAAAAAGGGTCTTCAAGGTTTAATTGTACTTAATTTTATTGTGCAGCACCGGACTCTCCACACAGTTTCCTACAAAGAAAAGAAAACCAAAAAAATCAGACTTGGCAGGCTCTCTGTTGCAATTTCTTGCCGCAGCTCTTTTGCATAACTCATCTTACCGTGCCTCCTCCTTGCCCATATCTGCATAGACACAAATAGCTTTGTCTCTGTCCAAGATCTGTTGTTTCAAGCTCCCAATCTCCCCCTGAGCCTTGGTCTTTTCCGCTTCATGGTCAGCTGAAAAAAATAAGAAATGTCTATACTGGATGCTTAAAAAACACATTTAAAGGGTTGCTACATCATCATGTCCAACACCCAGAATCATGCTTAAAAATAAAAAAATAAAATGTTTCTCCACTGTGGGGCAATAAAGGCATTTGTAAGCTTAGATGAGTTTAGAGAGCAGCACCAGGAAATAGCAAACTATGCTATTTAACTACACGTCATGGTTGAAGTGTTGGTTTACAGTAACAGCATTCTTCTCTCTGCGGCTGTTCCAGAAGATTTTCATAGGGTTTGCTGAGCACACATTAATTTGCACTGAAGGATGGCCAAAACTAATGAGCCTATATATATGTATATATATATATTTAGATTTTCCAAATAGGTCCTTGAAGACAGCCCTGTTTTTAATAATGTGAAACTATAGCTATGAACAAATTTATACATTGGTGGCGTTAAATCAATTGGTGCTTCTACATGCATTGTTCAAATAAATAAAGGGAACAATCAAATAACACATCCTAGATCTGAATGAGTATTCTTATTGAATAGTTTGTTCTATACAAACTTGAATGTGCTGACGACATGACACAAAAATCATCAATGGAAATCAAATTTATTAACAAATGGATGCCTGGGTTTGGAGTAACACACAAAATTAATGTGTCAAAATACCTTACAGGCTGATCCCTGTAATGTCTTTAAAATGGGTTAAAATGAGGCTTGGTATTGTGTGTGGCTTCCATGTGCCTGTAAGATCTTCCTACAAAGCTTGGGAATGTTCCTGAAGAGGTGGCGGATGGTCTCCTGAGGGAACTTCTCCTTAGCCCTGTACTAAAGCATCCGACTAACGCATCCGCCAACTCCTGGTTAGTCTGTGGTGCAACGTGATGTTGTTTAGTTGTTGCCCTCCTACAGCCTCTTCCATGTCTTCTGGTGTACTGGTCTGTCTCCTGGTAGTGCCTCCAGCCTCTACGCCATGGGTGTCAAATTGGTTCCAGAAAGGGCCATGTGGCTGCAGGTTATCTTTCCAACCAAGCAATATCACACCAGACTCCAGTCATCTCATCAAGTGACTCCAATCTGAACATGACTTGATGAGATGACTGGAGTCTGGTGTGCTTGGTTGGAAAGAAAACCTGCAGCTACACGGCCCTTTCTGGAACCAGTTTGACACTCGTGCTCTATGCTGACAGACACAACAAACCGTGCCACAACTTGATGTACCATCACGGATGAATTGCACTACCTGAGACACTGGGTTATAGAATCCGACTCATGCCACCTTGACTGTTCATTCAAAAGCGACCAAAACATCAGCCAGAAACCATAGGTACTAAGAAGTGGTTTGATGTCCCCACCTGCAGAACCACTCCTTTGTTGAGTGTTTCTTTCTAATTGCCAATCATTTTCACCAGTTGTCTATTTGATTTGCAGACCAGCATGGAAAATTGATTGTCAATGAGTGTTCGTTGTCTAACTGTTTGATTTCACAGAAATTTGTTTTAATTGACGTTTTTTTTACTTGTTCCCTTTATTTTCTGGAGCAGAGTAATATATACATTGAACTGGTTGAGCAGTTGGTCTTTATTACTAATTATGTGGAAGACTTCCAGATGACTGCAAAAACAAACTCTTCTCCATAAAACCTAAATCTAATTTGTACAAGAGCAAGAATTCCGCATTAGTCCTCTTTATCTATAGTGACTAATTTTTGCTGTGTTTTATGTTGTCGGTTTTAGATTAATACACTAAGTTTGAAATGGCAAAGTAGGGCATTCTACACAATGGTATCACTACTGCCACCTTCCGGTTTAGAAGAGAGCTGCTTGTAGCAAATAAGGTTGTGGGAACAAACAATCCCACCTGTGCCTTCCCTCTAGATCAGCCCCTGCACCTCACTTACTTTTGAGCTTATTTATGGAATCTTCCAGCTCATTCTTCTTCTGTTCAGCTTTTCCCTAGCAATTTAAGAAAGCAAAAGCATTAGTTAGCAATGGAAATGAGACTAGACACATGCAGTAGAATACATATGAAAAAAAAACATAAATATGTATGTTAATCAAACGGAATAATGATGCTCAGAACCTAAAAAGACATCATATACAGTGTCATATACTGGAATATGCTGACTTCCTAATTAGTTTTTGTTGGCCTTATGAGGTTTTATCCAAAAGGAGTGGGCACTTTCATGAGCTCTTTGCTCTATAAGCTATAGGAAAATATTTTTTACTCCAAGTAAAATTCTCCAGAAATCATTTAAGCTGTTTCCCCTTGCAAAAATCTTCTTTTTCATTAGGTATTTCACTTAAATGTGCCCGGATATAGCTTATAGCTGGGTGTTATTTTAATTAAGTCGAGGTAACTCCATAATAGCTACTGTCTTATTTGCTTTAAACCTGAGTGTTTTCCTTTATGTGCGTGTTTGCGTGTCTTACCTTCTCTGCGTTGCAGGTCTCCAGACCTTTCTCTGCCTGCTTTACCGCCGCCTCTTTCTCAGTCTTCTCCTTCTTCAGCTCCTCCAGCTTCTGGTTGGTGGTTTCCACGGAGGACTTGAGCTCCAAGATTTTAGATTTCAGCTCCATGATGGAGTCCTCTCTTCTTTTGACTTCCACGGTGCTCTCCACCATGCGGGCCTTCAGGTTGCGCAGACTCAGCTCCTGGCGCAGAGTCTGGAAAATCATCGCTGCCATCACCGCAATGCTGACGGCTACAAAAAAAATCAGCAGCTTCATCTCCGCTTATTTATATATTTTCCCCCTTAATTGATGCTTAATGTTTGCATGAAGGAAGTGCGTCTGTTGAACCGAATAGCGCAGATAGTCACTGGTTCATCCCTGGATGAATGTCGCCTGTTCCTCCCCAGTAAAGCGCTGGGAACACCGGTTCTACCTGTGGAACAAACTGGGCGTGTCGATCCACCTGCTTCCTGGGTACCTGCTCTCATTGTTTCGCACAGACATCAGATAACCCAGCATATATTTACTTTCCAGCGAATGAAATCTTTCATAAAAGAAGCTGATAAAAAAAATAATAATAAAATCATTAGTGTGTGCCTGCTACTTATTTATGCTTTCCTACAACTTTATTTAAAACCTCACAGCGATTTTAAATGAAGTAAAATAAGGGAAATAACTTACATTTATATTTCAGAATGTTTTGTGAGGGTTTGTTGCTCTGATGGTATATACTTAAACTTCCAGAAAACTGTAGAAATGCGAAAAGCCTGAGTTCCTTCAAATGAAGACTATTTGTTTAGGATTGCCTCCGACTGTTCTAGTTAAAAAGTTCAACTGAAACATCATTAGTTCATTTTTTTTTCTTTAGTCCAACTGCTTTTAATGTTCTTTCTTGTATCTCCATTTTTTTTCTACTTGCTGTGATTCTTTTTTACTTCCCCATATTTTAATCGTGTAAAGCACTTTGCATTGTCTTTGTACTGAATTGTGCTATACAAATAAATTTGCCTTGCCTTGCCTTTCCTTGCCTTAAAGATTGGGGCCAACGCAAAATAGGAGCTTAAAGTCTCAAAAATTGCTTCATCTAAAAAAAAAAAGGAAAAAAAAGCTATTTAATAAAACTTTGACTGCTATTATTTTTGCTTTGAATGGCTAAAAGTGGTTATTTAATTAGAAGATTAAGAGCTGAAGTGGTGCACCCTCAAAGATCTTCCTGTAAGATGTGCTATTGGCTGAATTGATCAATTAATAGCCCTGATACACTAAATGCACTTTTTCATTGGATATTTAAATGTATATTATTTATAACAATGACATATCAACATCATTATTTTTGGTGACTATCACTATTAACTGCATTTTCTCTTTTTTATGCCTTCTTCGTTTGAGCCACAAATAGGTCAGTACCCTCTTCATTTGGGAATATGTTCATGCATCAAAGTATATAATCCATGCTTTTTTTCCCACATTTTCTCATCACATATATCAGGCATTTACTCTGACATGTAATATTTTATATGTTCCGTTCTCGGTATGTGTTTCTCAGGGATACATTGTTAATGATGCACACTCTAGTTAATCAGTTACCTTGTTATGTAAGGTTCAGAGCAGTTGTGAAGCTATTTTATGGGTTTAAATAGTACTTGTATTGTTTTAAATGGAAGTTGCCTCATAGGAAATGAAGTGCACTTTAATCTCAGTCAATCTAGATATGTACTAGAAAATAATTAAGAGTATAAAGGTAAAATATATTTACTCCTGATAAGCTTTTAAGACAACCTCAATCAAAAACTCAGAAGTTTTTCATTCAAACTGGAAAAACACGTTTTGAGGTGTTACCAGGGTATGGTAACAGGTGCAGCAACCTGTTCCTCTTTTAGAAACTATTCAGGAAGGGGGCGTGTCTTTTTGTCCAAACAGCATCAATCCCAATGTTGAGCAAAAAAGAAAACTAAGGTGAGTCAGCTACAGGTGAGTGATCGATTGGCTTCAGTTTGCCAGCGATGCGCAAAGAGGAGGCGCAAACGGTGACGCGGAGCTTTTCTCTTTAAGCTGAGGATTTCTCATGGCGGATGAGGAGTAAATAACCTGGAGAAAGAACAATTAACACTCTGAACTTCAAGGGAACTTAATTTCATAAAAAAAAAAAAAAAAACAGGAAGGTGTTTATTCAGGATGAAAATCGCGTTTGTGCTTCCTCTCACTTTGCTGGTGTCTGTGGTTTTGGTGGGATACATCAAGATACGCAAAAAGGAGCACGAGAAGGAGGAGAAGCGCAACCGGTTCCAGGATATCAAACTGCGGGTGACCAGCGATGTTCTCCAGGAGTACGAGAACGAGAAGGTGGAGACTAGGAATGAGCTGGACAACCTGCAGAAGGAGCTGAAGGCGTTAGAGGAAGAAGTGAATGTTCTCAAGACCAAAACAGAGAAGTCGACGGGGGATTTAAACGGTTGCGATGGCTCCAAGGTGACTAGTTGGTTGAAAAAAATCTGTGTAAATCACTTAAAACATAGACTACATCTAATGCATCCAATTAAAACACACAGATCGGCTATTTTATTGAAAGTTCATCTAAATATTTTGATACAAATTTATCATTATATTAACATAAAGCAGTTTTGCATAATTTGTTCTTCTATATCTAATTAGAATCTGGGTATTGATTTATTTTGTTTTTCTCTGTCACTTTCTCCCCTTTTCCACTCCCAAAATACATCATCAGCCCTCAGTTGGAGCAAGCAACCTGTTGCTTTGAGGGCTGCAGCATCTAATCGATATATATTTGTCCAATAATGGGGAAAATATAAACAATTGGTCTAATTTATTCCACATTATGTGTAATTATGAAATTATTATTTTTCTCTGTAAATATTATAATTTGCAAAATGATCAGGGTGGTGTGAAAAAAGGCATACTTACCCTTATTAGAGAAAAATGGAAGGCGACTACACTAAATCTGTGTATTTTGATCAAAAAATTTATAAGTGCCTCTCATACCTTTTTAATGGAGGAATAATTTATAGTAATAATAATTTTTCTCTTGATATTAATTCTGTAGGATCCATTTTTTAACCTAAAAACTGGTACACATTGTATCGTGTTAAGGAATGTCAAATGACTTGTTCATTCAGCACTAACCAGAAAAACAAGATGGACTTCTTGCTAGGTGGACAATTGCTAGGGGTTAGGAAGTTCACTCTTCTATATTATCATAGAGTCAAGGCAGCTCCTACTTCCAAGAGCAAATCAGTGGTTTTCCCAACATATACCAAGTGCCTGAATATAAATTTCTATAAATATCTATGCAAAGTCGAATGGAATCAACATTTTTTTTTTTTTTTGGCATCTGTTTGTTCATTGACAGAAATCTGGTGCAGATCAAGTGGCAGCGCAGGAGACAAACCTGAACAACCTGAAGGGTAAGCGTACTTCAAATGTTAGCAATGGGGTTATGCTTGTTTTTGTTGTAACACCTACAGTAACCCTAACTTATTAGCAATACATTTAAATCTCCTATTGATGTACCATTCACAGCCGAAAAGGAGAAGGAGAAGACTGAGTGGAATGCAGAAATAGATCGACTGAAAAAGCAGCTGTCCGAAAAAAGCCAAGTCTGTAACTTCTTGAAAGAACAACCAGACCCCATAAAGTAAAGTTATCATTTTACTTTTATTACATTTGCAGAATAAGATCACAATGATGTGTTGTTTTAAAAATAGTTTCGCCTTTTCTTTAAAGGACTATGTGCGGCATTAAAGACGAGCCAAAGGCAGAGGCTCCAAAACCAGAAGAGAAAAGGGAAGAGCCCCCCAAACAACAGGAGCAAAAAGCAGAGGCTCCAAAACCAGAAGAGAAAAAGGAAGAGCCCCCCAAACAAGAGGAGCAAAAAGCAGAGGCTCCAAAACCAGAAGAGAAAAAGGCAGAGCCCCCCAAACAAGAGGAGCAGAAAGCCGAGGCTCCAAAACCAGAAGAGAAAAAGGCGGAGCCCCCCAAACAAGAGGAGCAAAAAGCAGAGGCTCCAAAACCAGAAGAGAAAAAGGCGGAGCCCCCCAAACAAGAGGAGCAAAAAGCAGAGGCTCCCAAACAATAACTAAAAAAGGAGAAACTCTTTCAAAAGAGCAAATAACATATCCCACTGTAGAACAAGAAGACATAAGGACAGATGCACTGAAATATACATATTCACTACCAGCATTTTTTGCACTAAATCTCAGGGTCATGTAGTTGTGTAGATATGTCATCAGGTACACCAGTGTCCTTGTTTCATTTTGGGTGGGATACAATGTTTCCGTTGACATTAAGCATATCCAAGTAAACAGAATAAATGTGGGTGTCGGTCTCTCCACATTATTGTAAACTGACCTTTTAAAGTTGTAGCTTTAAAATTATTAGTGCAGCAGCCCAGCAAGTGGTCAGTGAATTCAACCAACTAAAGCAACATAATTGCAACTGAATCCATCATTGGTGTAACATAGATACAGACACCAAGTCCAAAGAAAATCCTGTATATCTAGGAAAATGCTTTGTTCCTGCAAGTCTGAGATAAAGACCAATTCTCCATTCACTAACATCCCAACTGCCAAATGTCCCAGTTTCTTCAAAAGTGTCATCGTAATTTTAATTGCCATGTATGTCAAAACAATAAATGTTACATGTAGTGGAGGTAGGTCCTAGTACTGGTTAGAATTACTCTAGATCCTTTTTCATTAATTAAATAAAAAAAAATAAAAACGTGGTGTAGGGTTTTTGTTTTGGCACATATTTCATTTTGTGAATCTAGTTTTTTTTTATGTGTTTTTATTTTCTTAACATGAAACACTTTCCTTAGGAATTTTGCTGTAAGCATGCGTCAAACTGATGTTGCACAGCTGAAAATGCATAAATTATTTTAACGCTAAGTTTAGTTTTATATTGCTGAAGGAAATGGGTGCATTTACTCTTTTTAAAAAAAAATAAAAAAAAATATGTTTAAATTGTGTTATGCTTTTTATATTAAATTGCCACAGGACTTGACCAAAGCACTTTACACTGCATTCAGTCATTCACTCACACACTGAGGGTAACAAACTACATTGTAGCTACAGTTGCCCTGGGGCTTAATGACAGAAAAATTTTTGCCCCCCCCAGTCCCCCCAACCACCGTCAGTTGCCTACAATGCCGGTGAGGTGTTTTGCCCAAGAACACAGTGATACTAAAAGCTGGAGCAGGGCTTGAACCAACAACTCTCTGGTTAAAGGGTAAACTCCTTATCTGACGCCATTGTCACTCCTACTATATGAAGCCTTTTTAAGTTAACGTCCTTGAAAATAACCATAGAATTTAGCATTCATTGGCAGTTATCAGTCCTGTAGAATGGCTTCAGATTGTGCCTCCTACTTCCCAGTAATATTCCTAACCCTAAGGTAGTTCCTTTTTCGCCACAAAATTGATAAATCTATTCATGTGTGAGCCGAAAATAATTTCTGTAGTTCTAAAATAAACCAGAAAAATCTCATATCCTGTTAATTGAGTTGTTTTTAATCGCCAAATTAAATCTGTGTGACTGAAATGTAAAATTTTAAATGTAAAACTGAGACATGTATTTGTTTTTTTGTTTTTTAAATAGGTACACTTTAAATAAAATCAAAACTATAAAGTAGGTACCGGTAAATAAATCTTACGGTTTAAGACTCAGCCAAAGTGGCTGTTATCAATGATAAATTGCATATTATCAGCTGTAGGAAATTTAGCTTCTCAGGTCTGATTTTTAGGAAGGCCATGCATCATACACGTCTTTCAACATTTTATTCTCTCTCTCTTGTTGAAGACACTGAAAACTACAAAAATAAAGAATATAAAAACATTTCAATTGCACGTTCACAAAACTAAATGTCTCTAATCACACAGATTTAAAAGAAAATTGGTTAAACTAGATTAAACAGGAGATGGATCCTATATGCTAAATTATCAACATGAAACATTCAAATCAACAAAAGTGACTGTGTGTGCCTTTTAAACCAGAACAGAATCATCTTTTTCTCTTGAGTGGAGAAGTAACGTTGCTGCAGTGCTGGCATGTGTCTCTGCAGCCATATTGGATTACCAATAATTCAGTTCAAATCCACTAACTGAACTAGTCATGTGACCTTTATTCACATACAACTCAAAAACAGTAAATGAACTTTACTAAATGAATTAAAATAATTATTTATAAATTATAGAACGAACCTAACCAAAGACAAATTTTTTAACTCTTAACTATCACCTGGATACCTACAAAAAACCTATTAGAAGGTAGAGGAGGAACACCCTGAAGTCATTCTATGGGACTGGTGCCGTATGACTGCAGTTTTATTTTCTGTAATGCTGTTTTCACACTAACCAATGCTCCTAACTGATATCAAGTTCAGTTAAATAAGTCTTTGTAATGCTGCAAATCGGATAAGGTCTTGAATGTATGTGATGGATTTTGAGGTGAAATGGTAGTGCTCATAAACATAATTTTCTGAATATGAAAGTTACATGTTCATTCTCTGTCAATCAATACGGGTAATTCTTTTATAAGAACCTCCTCAAAAGGAAATGCAAAGTTTGCTTTTAAAACCAAAGGTGCCCAACAGACCTTGTGAATTATTATTTTTTTGTATCCAAAAAACTCTGACAAAAATCTCCAGACTAAATTAGGAAAGAAACCAACATGATTGGCTCTAAGGATAGCCGACACAGAGGACACTCCAAATTTACTGAACAAAATCTGCTCCCACCAGGTTAGCTCTGGGGAGCATGTTACCATGGTCACAGAAACTGAGGATGAATAAACTCTTAATTGGAAAACTCAGAGTTTCCCTGATATCAGGTTTAGTTTTCAGTAAACCTGCTTTTTGAAAGAGACCCCTGGCGTTTCATGTGCAGCTGAAGGTCATTTCCCTTTTAGACAATTGGTATGTGTAAACATAGCAACCATACCAAGGGATTTTCTTTTTAATCAGGAGCAACTCTATAACATCTCAAAAGCTAAATGATACTTCAAGTGCTTCTGCAAGTCACAGTTGAGTTTAGTGCAAAAGATGTAAAGCAGGAGCAAGGAGAATAAGGTGAGCAATGTAAGATCTTTCGAAATCAAGTTACATGCAGAATAACTCAAATCCCCAGCAAGGACCCATACAGAGTATGGGGAATGGAATATTATGTGTTTTACTGTAACGTGGCTGCAGGCTCACACAACAGCTTCAGTTTTATTCACACCTCGTTATTCGATCATCTTTTCAAGCTTGTTGTTGCTGTTATCTTACCACTTTTGGTTTAGTTAACAAATACAAAGTAATTTGAGGAGATATGTGTTTAATTATACATGTATCAATATCTAAAAATGAATAAAAAGAATAAACGTATCTTTCCTTACAATAACCGGAAACTAGAATGATGATTAGCCATATTTTTAAAAACAATACTGTGTAACTTTTATCCACTAAGGGTGCTAGACCTTTAACTTCAAGGTTTCCCTCCCATGAATACAACCGACCTTACTGAACTGTTGCAAAATTAAAAACTCCTTCTTTCACTTTTGAAATTTGATAGCAGACTTCTTTGGACAAGCAGAAAAAGTGATACTTGTAAAGACAAGGCCACACCTTTCAGCCCGGTTGAATCCTACATCCAGAGCTCAACATATGCCTGATCAAATCGTCATATCTGTTTTATTGCCTAGCAAAACCTCTTTGCCTATTCGGCTCTCATTAGCTTATTCTGTTCTCAAGTGGCGATCTGGGTCACATGACCTATTCAGTGATGGTTATGTAAGGTGTAAATTAACCTGAAAAATCATTTATTATATCTCAAACCCAAGCTTATACTTGGGTTAAAAGTTAAAGTTTTGTCCCAAAGAGAACTCTTGCATTGCATCGTAATAGCAATGTTGTTAGAATATTTACCCTTGACAAGACAAATCATTTAATTCTATGTCATATAAAACCAACAGTCTGAATAGAAAATAGAATCACAGTAATATCTAAAAGATAAAAGCTAGTTGCTGTTTGAAAAGGTCTGACAAGCTGGTCTGTAGTTACCACCTTATTTGGTTACCTGGACATAATTACAAGGAAATGACTTCTTTATCACCTGAGGGTTTAGAAAGACGTTGGTTAGTTCCCAACTGTTACAGAGACATTCTCTGAATATTTTTTTTTTGTGCATGAAAGAAAGATGCAGTTCTTCAAGTTTATCAACAAATTTGCATGAAAGAAAGACGCAGTTCTTTAAGTTTATCAACACATTTGCATACAGGTCAGTCCTCCCAGGGAGGAATCCATTATACCTGAAATGAACTTTGAGTTTACTATAGAGATATTCAGGTATAACCACACAGTGCACTGCAGTCAAGGTGTGTTTAATGAGTGGTTGTGAAATACCTGTTAAACCTGAATCTTGGTCGTGCAGGTAATGATTAATGTGTGTTCACAACCAAAGAAAGCAGAGAAAGCTATTCTCCAAATGTGACACACAGAGGCACACAGAAGTGCAGATAAAAGCTGATTTGTTTTTCTATTTGCTTGATATTTGACTTCATGTAAATTCAGACGACAAGCAGAGAAACACAAGTTGCTACCAGAGAGAGAAAATGAACAATGTAGAAGATCTGTTTAGTTTTCTGCACTCTACAGTTTCTCAGCAGAGTCACCTTTCCACTTCTGCCTTGCAGGTTTATGTCGTGCATTTTATTGTTGGTCTTTGGTTTCGGGTAGGGGGGTCAATTTTGGCTTCAGATGTGTATTTTCCTCTCTGTTACATAATTCATTTGCCTTCAGTTCTGAAAAAAAAGATATGTATTGAATAATCACCATTAACCTTGCCTCCCTCTCTCTTTCTCTTTGACTCTGCCTCAGGCGGTGTGTGTGCTGCTGAGTATGTTTAACAGAGAGAGGGGGGGTAATAGATACAGGGACAGGATTCCTGGCCAATCATATGACTGAAAATGTTTGTAGCTCCTGATGATCTTTACATTTCCTGTTTAAGGTCCGGCTCATCTTTTGCACAGACTGATCCTACAATATCATTATCTCTGCCTGAGTGTTAGCTTTGAATAAGTGGATAAAACCTTGCCTTTTGAGTGTATCTGTTTGTGTGATCATACATTTTAGTTTTTTTTTTTTTTGTGGTTGCTTTCTTCTTATATTAATTAATAACTGAGTTCAATGACCTATAAAAAGCCCTATAAAAGTCCTATAAAAATAAAGATCTTTGATGATAACAAAAGAATGTTGGTGATAACAAAATCCTTTAGAAAGAATTTTGTTATCACCAACAGAAGAAATAAAAATGACTGCATTATGATATATAATATATATATATATATATATATATATATATATATATATATATATATATATATATATATATATATATATATATATATATATATATATATATATATATGAACATCAAGAAGGATGAGAGGTGCGTATAACCTATCTGAACAGTGTGTGTGCAAAGTAACTCCATGAAGCCAGGGGTCAATGTCCTTGACAGATGTAACAGTTCGTCATCCGACCAATAAGGCAGCTTCACAGATGAGCCGTTGTGTTATTTAAGTCAAAACTGTTTTTGATTACTAACAATAATACTTTTCAGAATTGATGAATGCCTAAAAAAAGGATTGATAGATGGTTTACTTCTTCTCATCTGTTCTTGACATGATGTGCTGCTTTTTGAGCACTATGTTTGGCTGTGTGCAACATTTAGCTTTTTGCCAGCTTAT